TTTTTTTTTTTGAACGAGGCTCTTAGTGGTGCTGATAAGAGCAGACACCACTAACACCCAGGGAGAGGCTCCGTCTATTGGTGGGAAGCATCACCTGCTGGAAAACGGGTCCAGCGTCCCTTATGCAGACTGAATTTGGAGTACATCAGAAAACAATTGTGGGGGATTCCTGCCACTGCTGCCAGCATTGATTACTCTGGGATCCAGGGGATTGACTGAGCAGGATATTGGAAGGAAGGGGGGACCTCTTCACCCTGAACCCTGCGCCAGATACACTGCTACACTCCCTTCCCCTACCAGCCCTGGTCTCACATCAGTGTTAATGATAAGTATGATGGAATCATAAGTATGTTGGACAATCAGAACACTTCAGGGAGCCCCCTCTTCAGTCTGCGCCAGAACGCCAGATCTACTGGTCCTTTAAATCTAGAAACAGCTCCGCGGGCCAGAGATGGTTCCTTAGAACCTCGCGCTTGAACAATGCTCTGGCGAACATCAATGAACATTGAACATGGCAGGCGTGAGCTTGACAAGTGGCTGTTCAGTTCTTTGTTTCCTTTTCTTTTTTAAAACAAGTGCAGTAGTACCACACTTTCAAACTGTAAAGGCAAAAAAAACACTAATGGGCAACGAAAAAATGGCGGTAGTTCGAAAAGGCAAAGATAACATAAATGGGCAGTAACCTCACACCCCGACTTCAAAAAGTGCGCTGGCGTCACATCCACGGTGGTCCCAGGCCGTGGCCGCGCGGTAAGGAGTTTTTTTTTTTTTCGTTCGGTCGCACCGCGCCGCGCCATGCCACGGCTGGAAAAAAAAAAAGGTGTATCATCCCCATGGTAGGGCCACGGCCGAGATGTCTCGGCCACACCCCAGATTGGCCACGGCCGAAATGTCTCGGCCACACCCCATGGTCGGGCCACGGCCGAGATGTCTCGGCCACACCCCGGATTGGCGACGGCCGAGATGTCTCGGCCACATCCCAGATTGGCCACGGCCAAAATATTTTTCACCGGCCCGGTACTTGGGAACAGACCGGTACCCAGACCGGTACCGTGCCTGCAACACAGCCACCCATTTAAAACTGCCACAACTGCTCATATCAGACTTCGGCCTCGACGTTATTGCACTCCCATGTTTCGCTTGCCTTTTCGAAGTCGGGCCCCGACGAATATGCCCACAGATGTTTTTTTTGCCCTTTCGAAACTATTTTGTGCCACAAACGCACTTCCCCCTCCTTTTTTTCTTTTTTTTTTACCAGTCCAAGCTGTTGCTAGGGATGCTTATAGGAGCAAACACCATTAGCACCCCCGGAGAGGCTCCATCTATTGGTGGGGAGCAGCACCTGCTGGAAACCGGGTCCAGCGTCCCTTTGGCTGTGTAGTTCTTAGATAAGTAGTAACTGTTGCTAGATATTTGGACAGGGCTTTTTCGGTTGGCAGTTCTGTTGGCTTTTGTCTTTTGAGGGTCCTTTTCGGACTAGTTAGGTGCTTTTTCTTTTTCCTTTCTTTCTTTTTTTTGTGTGTTAGCCAATGCATGCAGCAGATTAGGGGCTGGCTATATGATGTCCTGATGAATCGATGTAGTTTTGAACCCGCACCGGTAGCCCCGTGCATGTTTCCCGTACGTAGTAATAGAGTGTTGGCCCAAGCCACAGCCTGCTGGGCCTGGGACCAGTACCAGTTGCCCTTTTTTTTTAATTGGTGCGGTTTGTTTGAAACATAGTCTACCGCAGTTTACATACCAGACTGCTCCTATAAATACTGTGAGTAAAATGAGAATAGTCCTCTTACGTGACGGGCGCTTTCCGCACTACCGGTTGTGGACGTCAGGTTGGCGGAACGCTTGGAGGATCACGGGACTGTGGATTGTATTCATTGCCGTAATTTTCTATTCGAGGGATTGAACTTTGTCATTTCAGTGTCACTTGAATGTGGAACTGTGTTTGACTGGCTTTGTGTACTCACACCAAGACACCCCTTTATCATGTTGTGGAAAGCGCGTGTGAACGATCCTGGAGCTACGCTACCGGGATAAGTGAGCACATTTTGGTAACTGTTACCTGACTTCCTTTGTCAAAGTGGTGGTGGCATTACGACGACCGGGTGAACCCCGATAGCTATTGCGAGTATCTGTTTGAAGACTTTCACAAGTTTGGACACACCTGACCAATGGCGGGCCATGGAGAACAACGGGACCGTGGAAGCAAGTATCGGGAGTATGGTGGCGATCGTGGGTATGAACGTGGTCCTCGACGAGGACCGCCAACCTGTTTTAACTGTGAAGAACCGGGACACTAGGCTAGTCAGTGTCCTGACCCACGTAGGTATCCTAGCCAGCGGCCGGCTTCAGCTTCGTCTTCAGACTCCGGACGCGGGAGATCCATGTCACCGTGTTGATACCACCACGGCTTTTCGAAGCGATCAGCGCCGAGCGATTCCCTGCACCTGACGGTTGCCGAGATCAGCAAGAGTGTTGCAGCTGTCTGTCAATATGTCAAAGTGGAACAACAGAAGAAGGCAGTGAAGGAACGAAGGAAAGTCGAGAAGAAGCATGCAGAGGAGCGTGCTATGGCAGAACAGGCTGAGTTGGCCGTCAAGAAGAAGAAGAAGCCTTAGGAGGAGAAGGCGCGGAAGGATGCCGAACGACTCGAGGAGATGAACAAGAACGTGGACGTCAAGGTTTCTGTACAAATTGGGGAATTACGTGAAGACGTACGGGATGACATGGGACATGAAATCCTGAAGCTATCAACGAGCTTTGTACCGCTGTGGCCAGGGGTAAGCAGAAGGTTGCTTACCAGCAGGAAGTTCGTCCTGAGAGCAGCGCAAGCAGCAGTGAGACCGAGGAATTAAGCACTTGCACGCGCAACTTGTGCATCTCAGAGAAACGAAAACGTGGACCTGAGCCAGTCTTCGAGGACAGTCCTCCTATGGAATTTCCTTCGAAACGCACCCCGCAGCGAGCGGTAAAACGGTACTAAAACCTGTCAAGTTGACGGCAAGACTGACGTGATCCAAGGCCCGCGGCAAAACCAAGACCCCAACACCTAAGAAGACCCCTCTGTCGATACGGAAGAAGATCCCCACATCCATTGGTGTGGTCGGAAGACTGAAGTTTGAGAGACAAGTGATGCACAACCTATGTATCACCCGCGGCCACGGCCGTGGGGTCAAACTCGGAGGGCGGCCACCACGGCTCCGGCCGCGGTTGGGTGTGGCCGCGACTTTCAGAATTTTTTTTAGACTTAAAAAAATTCTCAAAGAAAAAACAAAAAAATATGGCGTTGTAGATCTTTTTGAGATCTAAATTGTGCAATTTTTTATTTTATTTTTTGACTTCGTCTTCAAATTTTAAAAATTAAAAAACTAATTTTCCTGAGGCAAAAGCTGTTTTTTTTTGTTTTTTTTTAAGAAAACTATGAAACTTATGTGTTTTTTTATTTTCAATTCAATAAAGTTTTTGGATATGACCACACGGCAAAAGTTGCTCAGTATATTTTTCTGCATAACATTTTTTTTTCCAATTTTTTTTTTGGGGTAACGTCGGCGCAGTCACGAAAACAGTTTGTAATTGCACTTCAGGCAATCCCGCGAATACAACACACCCCCACGCGACCCCACCGGACCCGAAACGTAGGTCATATACATTCAGCATTACGGGCCCTTTTGCCTCAAGTGCAATTACAAACTCAAACCCTGACTGTGCCGTAGTTTCTCTTTTTTTTTCTGTTTTTTTTTTTTTTTGTTTTTTTCATGGCCGCGGGGTCGCGGCCTAGGCTGCACATGGCCGCCTCCGGGGCGGATTCATAGTGCACGACCTGAAGAACTTAGATGCCCTTGTTCTGCAGAATATCTGCAAAGATGAAGGAATCGCCTATAACGGGAAGTTCGAGGCAATTTTCGATATTGCCGCACGTCGCACTCGGGTGGCCTACGGGTCAGACGTTGAGACTGACGAAGAGCCTCCCCAAGAAGGAAACATTGCTGAGACCGCATCAGGTGAAGAAGATAAGCATGAAGGGCAGTGATGTGTTTTCAGTATTGCCGACCTTGGGGGTATAGTCCGCTCACTTACGGAGCTCAGGTCTATGATTGTAGGTGTTGATGGATGAGCTGAGGAACTTCTCCGGTTAGTGATTGTATGCCTTTCTTTATCCCGTGTTTTGGGTTTGACATGGAAGTGTGTGGAAGCTTCGGTGCGTTTATACGAACTCTTTGGAACTGAATTTGTGAACGTCACTAATTGTGTTCATGTCGCGGTCTCACCCTACTGTAAGTCTCAGTACATAGGCAAGGCATCAAGACACCTCCATGTCAGATGGCGGGAACACCTGTACCCTTCTCG